ACGTCATGTGTTTTTGTAGGTGGCTGTTTCACTTGCTGACCTGAAGACCACGTGACCGATATTCACTCACAGAAGTGCTCCACACCCGCGCATCCAAATAAGTACGCCTGTCTCGAACACGACAAGCGGCGGCCACGCATCAGGGGGCCTTAACAGGCGACATCCCCTCCGGCAATTGCAACACACCAATAACATAACACTCGAACTTGCTTCATAATCTTACTTAAGCAACTGTCATCACCCCACACAACACACAGTCGACTCTCTCCGGTCTGGCTGGACGCAGTCAGCACTAGCTCTGGCATCGTCAATGGCCGCTGCTACCTGAGACATTAATATGGAGTTCTGCACCCAATATACCACTCCTTCTGGTGACTCTTGCCTTTTACCTCCAACCTGGGATTCAACCTGATGATTGTAGTAATCCGAGTACACCACTACCTAGACCCCTACAGCTGGTTTATTTAACCTCGCCAAAAGTTCTCGGCAATTTTGCGATAAAAAGAAACCTTAAGGAGAAACGCGACCACATCAATTGCCATTTCTTTTTAAATAAAACGGTGGCAGAAACAGTTTCAATTTCCGGGAAGCTTATGGGAGAGAAGCCTTAAGCTCAGTTAGAGTGCTGTGCTCGATTCATGAATTTCCAAAGACGAACCCCGTTCGGGTCCCGCCCCAACGTCCGGAAATCCAATTTTAATTCCGTGATGGCTTGATTTTCCGAGATTAGTGGAGTTGCAAGCACTGAATTTCTTCCTCATGACACCCCAGTGAAGCAAAATTACTAGCTGCAAGTGCGGAAGCGATTGCTCGGGGCAATAAGATAAAAAACGACCTGAATTGTGGCCGTCAAGGGACTGGCTTTTATATTCACACGCCTGCCCTCACAGCCTTCTATGAACGGTATGACAACGGTTGCTCGTCCCTTTACTCGCCTCATTTAGCCCTTACCTCCCCACACCCCCATCCTCCCACCTGCTGCGGCTTATTATTCCTGATGATGCAGAAAAATCCCAAGGGAAAGCGTTTTCAGAACGTAGAAGAGGTTAGGAAAAAAAACATCGCTGGAGACACTTAACAGCACTAGTTCAGAAGAATACTTTTAAAAGAAAATGTTCCAGACAGTGGAAAACCCGTTAGGGGCTAGTTTTTATCATCTACTAGGTAGTCCTTTGTAGACATTTTATCTTACGTACAAAAATGTGATGAAGATGCTCGTTCGTTTTCGTTACCTCCTTGTATAACTGAGCCACGAGGCTCCGACCGAGAACCGTGCTTTCAGTCACATTTGGGTCAACTGACTCGCCCACGAAGTGCGCACAGTATCGGTCAGTTCAGCGGGCCTGCGCAGCAGGGCTTTATTTTGAAAATATCATTCCAAAATTTTCAGCAAAAACATCCTCCATTCACAAAGAATAAAATTAGGCGCACAAACTCATAACATCGGGAAATCAAAGGCAATTCATACTCCTCAATGACTGCAATTTTCAAATGCAATTTCGGATAAATGTCCTTGGAAAATTCGTCAGATATAGGCCAAAATTAACTGCTTTCAAACCGGCATTAGCGTAGTAAACTGATGACCTCATTGTAGTTCAGATAAACAAAGAGCGATACAAATCGGTTAATAATGGGCTAGGTAGCGCAATTGACGTATATATAAGAATGGAGGGAGGAAAAAGAATGACGGCCCAATTTGAAAAGTACGTGTCCACTCGACATGGAGTAGCGGTACTTCACTACATGCATCCGTCCCGACCTTCAGGTCTGCGGAACTGGTTGAAGTTTTGCAGCTAATAGTAAACACTAGAAAGGCACTCAAATTCTGGTTAAACATGGTGCTGCCAATCTTTTTTCCTCTCTATCTCAAAGGTGACCCTTAAGTCTAAATTGTCTATGAGGACATGACACTCACCCGTAGACCGGAGGCGATGGCAAAGGGTAGTTTCAGGGGCTCCATGGAGGTGTGCAGGATGTAGGGCCGATTGACCGTGCCGCCGCCGCCGCTGCCGTTGGTGGCACCACACGCGACGACACCAAAGT